ATATCAGTCAGAGTCAGCTCAAATGACATGTACAACTTATCCGTATCTCATCAATCATGGCTAGCATATAAGTCGGAGTCACCTATAGTGACCTGTACGACTTATCCATATCTCGTCAATCCTAGCTAGCATATAAGTCGGAGTCACCTATAGTGACCTGCACGACTTATCCATATCTCGTCAATCCTGGTTAGCCAATAGCTCAATAAGTATACCTGCACACGAGTCGGAACCACCTAAAGTGGTCTGTACGACAGGCCTGGGTGTAATACATATAAACGCTCTAGTGCTACGATCACGTGAAGGCTGTGCGAATAATCGCGGGTCACCTACGAGTCGGAACCACCTAAAGTGGTCTGTACGACAGGACTGTGCACCTACCTTGGATCCAAGGTAAGCGTAAGGTGCGGGAGATGAACATCACGTGAAGGACTGTGCCCTGGCCACGGGTGGGAGCACTAACACCGAGGTGCAGGTTTATGAGCTCTCAATACATCTCAATATAACATGTGCAACTCATGGCAACCAGTACGACCGTATCGAAGTTGCCTAACTCATAACTGTAGCCATGCTATAACGCAATCGATTCAACTAGTACCATAAACTCACCTGAACTTACCTGGGTGTTCTGAGTTCACCTTTGCACTTGAAAGCATTCCCAATAATTATATGCAAGTAATATACATATGGATATATCATGATGCAATCTACTACTCAACCATGTCGTAGCATTTTCAATTATAAACAATATAGTGTGAAGTGTACAATCAATAACTCCCTACTCCCAAACTACTTATTTTCAAGGATAATTATTCATGTCAACCCAATTAACACTAATTTAACTAACTAATTCATAAAACTAAAACTTGCCTTAACCAATTTCCTTCGCATTACTCAATTTCCCAAGCAAGGCTTTTGTCTCAAATATTTTATGGCTGCATCTAACATCTCGTTAGACTGCCTACGTACCCTAAACAGGGATCAAGCCATTCGTAGTTCACATAGTACTTCAAGCATTCACAATAATTATATATGAAAGTAATATGCCTAATCAATTTAAAGGTGTCGATAGAACTCTCAATAATATGTACAATAAAAAGGGAAAGATGCACTCACCTGGAGTCCACGCTATGATTCTCTAGCGCACGCATCGAGGCATCCTGAATGATTGGTCCCTGCCACGAAGTCCAAAAGTGGACGGAAGATGGTCAATTTTGCCTACGAAGCCGGCGGGTGCCTAAAACTTCCCGACGTCGATTCGTCGTCTACGGTGGTCCAACGGGGTCAAGGTTGGTTGGGTTTTACTCCTGGGATGATGGGCTACAAAGCCCAAGTGGTGGCATCGGCCATTGCTTTGCCGATTTGCCGGAAAATCGAAAAGGGTGGCCGGAGCACCATTGATTTTCGTCAACTTTCGTGGCCTCAAACCTCCACATCCCATGGTTAATCAAGGTGGTTCTTGGGTGGGTTTTGTAGAGGGGAATGAGAGCTTCAAGATGGTGGTGGTGGCATCGAAAAACTCCACCGGAGTTGGCCGGAATCGGCCTTTGAAAATGGGTGGTTGCGAGTGGGAAAACCCACGGGAAAAGCTGGGATTTTTTTTTTCTTTCTTTCCTTTTTCTTATTGGGCTTCACCTTAAAAAACCAATTTCTGATTGGGGATTTAATTTAATTAACACTAAACCTTGAATAACCAATTTCGAACGTCCGTAACTATACCGTTATAATCCAGACTCGCAAACGGCTTTCGCCTATGCGTTCACATCCATGAGTATTACGAGAATATGTTAAAAGAATAAGTCATACGTCTCTCTAGACGATAGTCAACAGAAGTCAAAGTCCTTGCCTCTAGGGCAATTTCGTAAATTCATGCTTTTAAAATAAAATAAAAACGTAAAATTTGGAACGGGTTGTCACATGGACTCTCTGCCACCTCACAGTTAAAGTTAATTCTCGTGCCAACATTGTAAAACAATGTGCAAAAAACATAAGGTGACGGAGAGTCCATGAAAAGTCCCACTTTTAAAAGAATTTCTTTAGCATTTATCAAAGTTCATATAAATCTTAATACACTATACCACCTAAGATTATATACATTCTTGGCAACACAAAGCAAGGTAGATTATCAAGCCAAAAAAGTATATAATCCAAAATTTAATAAAAACAAAAATTGAGAGAGTTTTCATTTCATATCCTTTTTTCTTAGAGAATGTGTATAGGCGTAACCGTACGTATATAGCTTTTAAATATCTAATTGGATGTCAAATTTTGATTTTTATTTGCCATTGAGTCAAAGGGTTTGCGATATGCTTCTTTACCCCTATAAAAAGTCTTTATTCTCAACCATATTAATTTATGTCTATGGGGTAAAAATAAATTCCATTTATTTATTTAACCATGTAAAATTTATGAATTTACTTATTTTTCCAAAAGTAGATTGTATAAAACATTACATTATTCCATTTTATGAACATTGAACCAAGTAAAAACTCTAGTTAATAAACAAAGGTCATAGTAATAGAAAATTATCAATTTAATGACTTGAGACCTATATGAAATTTTTATAATGTATTATATTATAAAGTTAATGAATTATTTAGTATGTTATCCTCAAGTCGAGACCACTAAAAATTATCAAGGTAATACTGTATTACTTTTTTTTTTCTCCAAAATATTGTAGATTTAGTTTAAATTATTGTTAGTGTAACATCCCACATCGCCCAGGGGAGTGATCCATAAATGTATATTCCCATCCCTACCTAGCACAAGGCCTTTTGGGAGCTCACTAGCTTCGGGTTCCGTAGGAACTTCGAAGTTAAGCGAGAAAGGGGCTAGAGCAATCATGTCATATTGTCGCATCCCGACCCAGGACGGATCACTTCCCGGGCCCGCTCCGCCATTGTAGCACGATATTGTCCGTTTTGGGCTTACCAATCCCTCACGGTTTTGTTTTTGGAAACTCATGAGCAACTTCCCAGTGGGTCACCCATCATGGAATTGCTCTAACCCCTTTCTCGCTTAACTTCGAAGTTCCTACGGAACCCGAAGCCAATGAGCTCCCAAAAGGCCTCGTGCTAGGTAGGGATGAGAATATACATTTAAGGATCACTCCCTAGGGCGATGTGGGATGTTACAATCCATCCCCCTTAGGGGCCCGACATCCTCGTCGGCACACTTCCGACCAAGGATTGGCTCTAATACCATATTGTCACATCCTGGCCCGGGATGGATCACTTCCCGGGCCCGCTCCACCAGTGTAGCACGATATTGTCCGCTTTGGGCTTACCATTCTGTTTGAGCCCAAAATAATATTGTTGGGCCGAGCATACAGTTAGGCTCGGCCCAAGGCTGTGTCAAATGCTATGAGTCGAGTGACAAATCCCGGGCCAGTTGGCAGGGTATGTCGAGTCCTATCCTAAGAAGTCTAGATAAACAGAAAGGGTCGAGGAAGTCCTGGTGCGACCAGGATTCCCGACCAGTAAAGAATAAAGCCTCGGAAGAGAGGAAAGTTCAAAGTCTTAGTTGGAGTAGGTTTGTTCGAAGTAAAGTCGAAACGGGACAAGGACTCCCAATCCAGATAAGGACGCAATTCGGTTTCAAGGAATGGGGTGCTATAAATACAAGAAATCATGCAACAAAAAAAAATGACCTTCAATTCAGCATACAATTGCCCTGCGCAAAACCTCTCAAATACCTTGAGATTTTTCCGTTTCTTTTTCTGCCGACACACCTTTAGTTTGGATAAACAACACTGTGGAGGCACCCGGCGAGCACCTTCAGTTTGGATAAACAGCAATGTTGCCGCAGAATCAACCGACCGAGAAGCACCTTCAGTTTGGATAAACAACACTGCGTCGAGGCCGACCGGTTACCTATCTAAGTCTCAGCCGAGAAGGATTTTCGAACCCTTGTTGGTAGAGGTCACCTTGCTAGCCTTCTCGGCAAAGTAAGGTGTTACGAATTACGTTATTCGGCGTACTGGGCGCCGAGTGATTTTATGATTGGATACTCACAAATGAGTTTTAGAGTTCGGCATTCCGACGGCCGAACTACATTCACCATCAAGACATACATCACAGTTGAGTACTTGTGTCCATATAGTCTGGTGTCGATTTGATGTGCTTATACTCTTACGAATATAATCACGGTGACCGAATCGGGCATCGACGATTTGTGAACTTCGCAGAATTAGTAGCCTTGTCTTCAGGCTCTAGAACCCAAAGACCGAGAGTGTTCCTTCCTCGGTCGCAGTCGCAAGAAAAAGAAGTCAGCAACACGCTCAACGCGACACCAATGAATTTTACTCCCCGGTCGAGCTCGGCCGACGAGTTGGCACGTCCCGCATTCAACCGAATGACGTAATTAGCTTATTAGTTACTCGACCTGCGTGCCAGGCAGGTTTTGTAATCTTTAGAGCCAACACATTCCCTCACGGTTTTATTTTTGGGAACTCACGAGCAACTTCCCAGTGGGTCACCCATCATGGGATTGCTCTAGCCCCTTTCTCACTTAACTTCGAAGTTCCTACGGAACCTGAAGCCAGTGAGCTCCCAAAAGGCCTCGTGTTAGGTAGGGATGAGAATATACATTTAAGGATCACTCTCCTGGACGATGTGGGATGTTACAGTTAGATTTTGTTTAATTGTATGAGTTGATATTTTTTTTTATTTTATAAAATGTTACAGTTACCCATATCTCTATTCGATTACATAATTAGTCATCCTCCATCTTTAGATATTTTCAAAAAGAGAATAAAATAGTCCAATATAAGATTAAATAGGAAAAACATTCAAACTAAATACCAAAAGTAAGGACCGTACCATGAACCAAAATCATCATATTAAGAGGAAACAAATCTTTTCATCGCTTCATCATAGGCAAACCCTACGATGAACCATATAACATAAGTTATATATATATACAAGAAGGTTTGCAAGAAGCCCAAAACACAGGAGGAAGATAAAGATAAAGAACCCAAAAATATAAGTAGAAAAGGAGACATGGGTACGGGTTTGATCATATCTTCTCCAGGTAGGTCCTTCTTGTTATTTTTCTCGTTGGTATGGGTAACAGAATGTCTGGATCAAGCCAAGTATTTCAATGTGAGGAATTATGGAGCTGTTGAAGGTGGAGAAGCTGATAACAGCAAGGTAGTTATTTGTGCTGTATGACTTGCAATTTCTTATTTATACTCTATGACTCTTGGGTAGCAAAGAGTGTGGACCCTTCGCCTTTGGTCATCTCTTACCCCGATGAAGGAGCTAATGTCGCCTAATCTTCTATTTTCCTTTGTTACATAATTATGTTTATAAGTACTAACAAGAACTTTCTGCGAGTACATGAATTTAGGCATTTCTGGAAGCATGGAAAGAAGCATGTCAATGGAAGGGAAGGGCACGGGTTGTGGTTCCCAGAGGTACATTCAAGTTGTATCCCGTGATATTCTCAGGTCCATGCAATGGTCCGATTGCCTTTCTGATTGAGGGGACTTTGAGGGCTTCAATTGATCCATCAACATTTAGTACTGACAGTTGGATAAACTTCCGGTACATCGATCAGTTGGTAGTGACCGGAGGCGGTACCTTGGACGGCCAAGGAGCCTCGGCTTGGCATCTGAACAACTGCAAAACCAATCCCCAATGCCAGGCTCTTCCTATTGTAAGTTCTTGATAGAACTTCTCTCTCATTTTTTTAAAATGGAAATGTATTAATGTAGGCTCTTCCTTCGTGTCCTATTATTTTGCTACTAATTTAAATGGGTAGTGCTAAAAAATGCAGTTGACCATATTTTTGGAGACAATTAATAGGTATATTTTACTATTTATTGTGACAAATCTTAATTTATATATTTATTAACTGCCTAATTTGGCCAGAAAATGTGATAAACTAGACAGAGACTTTTTATTTGTTTTTAAACAAACCATATTTTTTACACTAAGGGAAGGGGAGTGTGCTTAACCTCACAATGAGCTAGAAATAATGTGGCTTTGGCGATAATCAAACCTAAGACCTTTCACTTACAAGTGAAAATGACTATCACTAGACAGTAGTACTAGGTGGCAACTAGATAAAGACCTTAGAAGATATGCATTACTTTTTTTTGTTCTAGATGATTAAAAACTTGAAAGATATGCGTTAGTACCCATTTTGAAAAATTATTGTGTACAACGTAATATGTACCAATATACATGTTATAACCACATGAGCATCTCCACATTCCTTTTGCTGCGTCACATCAGCAAAAACTTCCTCCAAGGATGAGGTAATTAATTGGCTTGGCAAAAAAGCCCTAGGAAAGTTTGATTAGGTTATTTTGCCTTATGAAAAAGTTTAGGCTTGCAAAAGTGATATTTTTAGGCATCGTTTGCGCAATGCAGAAGCGATCTTTTTTAGGCATTTGTTTGACCAATTGCTTTATTTTTTGGAGTCACTAATTTCTATGTTACCAAATATTAAAGATAAATTGTCATATATGTCATCAAAGTACGTATTTATCTTAAAAATTTGCTATATCTCATTAATATGCCTTCTAAATACATAGTATTTGTGTTGTTGATTATTCCACTAGTACAATTTAACATCTTGTTCTGTCTCGTCAAATATTATCGTATCAGTCTTTGAGTTTTGACTTCATCACAAACGCAAGAGTTGAATACATAAAATCATACGACAGCAAGAATGCCCATTTCAAAATTTTCGGATGCCACAACATGGACTTTAGAAAAATCAAAATCTCAGCTCCAGCAGACAGTCCGAACACCGATGGCATTAAGATCGGAAGCTCATACCGAATTAGAATCGCACGTTCCACGATCGCAACGGGCGATGACTGCGTAGCAATGGTGACCGGAAGTAAGAAAATCCACATTTCTAAAGTTGTGTGCGGTCCCGGGCATGGAATCAGCATCGGAAGCCTAGGAGGGCATGACAAAGAAGACGCTGTGGTAGGAGTGGTGGTGAAAAACTGCACATTTTTGGGAACGGAGAATGGTGTGAGGATCAAAACTTGGGCTTCTCCTTATACCAGCAAGGCTTCGAATTTTACGTTCCAAGACATTTTTATGGATGATGTTCTGAATCCCATTACAATCGATCAAGAATATTGCCCCAACCCTCCTTGCAATCAACAGGTATATATTTTACATGAACCCAGTTCCTAGCTAATATATATTTGTCTCTTGCATTCCCTATAAAAAATAGATATACAATAAATACATATATATCTATATATATACATGATAATATTTTCTAATTAGGGTTTTGATCTATTAGTTGTGAGACAAACAATTAATTAGGCTATGCAGTTAAACAATTTCCACGCAATTAGTAGTCTATAACAATATTTAGAACAATATAACATGTCTCTTATCTTTACAAGAGAAAATTTTCCTATAAATTTAATTCCTTCATTAAAAAAAATCTCTAGCTATTGATGTTTTTTATGTTGATACGGTGTTTATGTTTATTTCATTTTCTGCTTTTGTTTTATTATCTTTATAAATACATACCTAAATAACCTTGAATTTAAAACGCTCAATCTCGAAAAAGAAGAAACTTAAAATATATGTAAGAGGATCTTATTTTGTACCAATATAAGAGAATATCTCTCAAAACAATTTGACTTTTATGTTGCTGGACTATTGAGCAGAAAGTAGAATCTAATTTGAATGTGTGACCTAGATTAACAGTTAAGAATTAACATCAAACTGTGTCTATCTGATGATAAAAGAATATTACCCTATAGCAGTGTTCAAATCATGATTTAGATCTTATTCGTCACAGGATTTAGACTGCAATTATTCGACAAAAAAAAATGAACTTAATTGAACAAGGGGTTTCTTCTTTCTTGTGTGCAGACTTCTTCGAACGTGCAAATCAGCGACGTTACATACAAAAACATATGGGGAACTTCCTCGTCGGAAGTAGCCGTAAGTCTCCGATGCAGCAAAAGCAGGCCATGCAAGAACGTGGTGCTGGACATCATCAAGTTGTCCCCTTCCAATCCCAGAGAACGTTTGAGTTCCTTCTGCTTTTATGCAAAAGGAGCCTCTTATGGCTTACAAGCCCCTCCATCTTGCTTATAGTTGTAGCTCAATTAGCTTTATGATTTCAAGTTTTATGGCTCACAAACCCCATGTTTATCTTTTAATCATAAATCTGTAGCTAGAAAATCACCTAGTTTTGATTGTCCAGTGTCAAAGAAACATGAATTGAGCAGCTGGTGGATCTAGTTATAGACAACTTTGCATATATCATAGTTAAATGTAATCAATATCTATTATAAATCCAATTATTCCTGCAGTTTCATCCACCTAGTGGAATTTCATGAATGCTCAAGTGGTTGTGTTGTTTTCATTGGTATACACTGAAAGAGGAGGGGATCAAACACGAGACTCTAATTGTGTATCAATAAATGCTCTTACCAGTTGAACTACAAGCCCCGTGTCTCGTGTTTGGTCTCTAGAATTGAATTCAATTAGATATCACTAGATTTGATTGTCTTAGAGGAACAAGTGCACCTCAAATCTAGTGAGTTACTGGAAAACAAATGTTTGGGGTGTTTTGGGGGTGCACTTCTAAGGTGTTCATATCCTTAGAGGTGGACTGCAACAAGAAACTTGGGTATCAAGTATCTCATTGCTCGAGAAAGGTGGTGGCAGGATTGGTTAAGATTGATTAATTAAGAGAAGGTTCTATGATTTCAGATCCTTTGAACAAACCAGTCCCAGTTGTCGTCTTCAAAAAAACGCATTGCAAGGATGGGAGTGTTAGCTGATTTTGATGCAACAAATTCGTGCGAGCTGTGTGTTAATGTTTCTTTCAGTCATTATGTTCTCAAATACAAGTTGTTAAGTTTTAAAATATGCATTGAAGCACTGATGATAAAGCCTTCTTAACTTATAAAGTTGATTGCTGTTGGTTGTTTAAAGTTTCCCTTGAAACACAGCATTGAGATGAACTGTTTTCGCAGTTATAAAGAGGACCAAGTGTTGGATGTGGTTTTTTTTTTTTTTTTTTTTTTTTTGAACAATCGATTTTATCTACACTAACAGGGTGGTATGTGAGAATGGGCTAAGCCTCACAATAGGTTAGCAATAATGTGGTTCAAATTCGTCTTTGGCTAGAATCAAACCTAAGACCTCTCACTTACAAGTAAAGAGGAATATCACTAAATTGTAGTACTAATGACAAAAACTTGTTACCATGGACTTTGTTAATTCGAGGATTCCATGTTATGTTGTACTGTGATGAACAAGTGTTGGCTCTAGTGGGAGAATGCAAGTCTTATTAGAGCCAACACTTGTTTTTCACGTGCTTAAAACTGGAATCATAAGAGATTAGGATTGGCTATACTTGTAAGCTATTAAGGAATGTATATAGGCAGTTTCATAGCTAGATAAGAATAGGTTTGTTTCAAGCTGATATGGCTGCTATAGTTTTGTGGTGCCGAGGATTGGTTTGATAAGGATTATATAATGGGAAGCGTCCTTGTTGAACACCATCGTTTCCAGTACAAATTAGGGTCCTGCTCTCACATTTGACACGCAATACAGAAAGCCTCAAGCCCCATAAATTGAGTGTTGTATCCTGGGAGGCCGGGAGTGTTGAGAAGCAGAAGAACTATAACCCTGGCTTCAATGGCTTCTTCAGGTAAGCGGTTCAATTGCTACTGTGATATGATTTCCGCCTAGTTAATATCTTACAGGAGATGGTAGACAGACACGACCCATCTTGGTCTGCTACATTCACTAGACAACCTGTGCATAAAATAAGCTACGAGTAATTCCTACCGCAGTCCGTCATCGATGATTTCGATGTCGGATATAGCCGAAAAATCCTTTACAGCTCAAAACTGTAGCCTAAAAGGCACAAAACATCTCACAAACAAGGAAAAGGTTAGCGAAGCATAGAAGGGAACCTAGGTTTGAGAAAAGTCGGAAATATCTTCTGGTTCCTTGGTGCGAAGTTTGTTGCTGGGTTTCTTAGTCAAATGGTGTTTTACCCTCCTAGAATTACATCACATCAAATTGGTAACTGGAGCATTGCAACATTTATTCAGTAAATACAAATCGGTATTTAAGCTTTCGAGTGCGTGCAGTGTGAGAAAGGACATACTCAGAGTCATAACAGAACTGAACTGAACTAGAACTTTAAAAACAACAACGAGGTTAAATGTACGATTGCCAAGATCCAAACCATCTTTTAAAACTTCAACTGAAGCAGGGTAAACTGCAACGGAAAAGATGGAAATACTGAAAGGAATAGACGACAAAACAACAAAGTTCCTCAGACTTGTAAAGCCCTCCAAGCTCCATCCACGGATCTTTTCTTGTGGTATTGGTTAATGCAATGGACGAGTAACGCGTGGTCTCACAGGAGTCTTTGAAGGACTTACCCTACAGAATTACGATATATGCAAGATATTAGAACGTTGAATCACTCGAAGAATTATGACAAACCTCATTGGATCAGTGACCACACCTGATGGGTTGTGCTCCCAACACCATTCCGCTACAATTGAGCGCAAGTATAGCACTTTCCGCCTGTTATCAGTGAAAATGAGCAAGGCAATAGAGTTTTTCAAGAGAAAGATCATTTGTGTTGAGGAATTACAGCCAAAAGTTTAAATTCCTGTAGAACATTTTGCTAAACATCTAATGGAATGCCACATAAATCTCCATATGCAGTCGTAATAATAAAACGAATTACACTGGAAGAATGGACCTCAAATCACCACATACAAGCACACTTCCACACATTCACAGCATAATCAAAGATGGAAATACTAGCTTTCTAAGGGAAAGATCAAGAAGGCACAGAAGAAAAATTTGACGTATGGGGTTTTTTTTCAAATTTCTTCATTAAGTCATATCACAAGTATGCCAGTCTACATAAATGAAATACTGCCAAAGCATATAATGTGTGGATGTCCCTTAGTAAGCAGATATGGTGATACTTTGAAGTTAAACGAATATCACAATGACAAAAGGATAGAAGATGGCATACGAGTGTCAAACCCAAAAGAACTACAACAGAGGTGCTAACTCCAGCACATAAAAACACACTGCGATGATAATACACGAGCTCAATCATTCCAAAACAACCTCATATACAGAAGTTCTAATGCACAAGCTCATTTCCACCATGGCAAAGATAATTCCATTTTACTTGGAACAATAGCTCAAATTCCCGATAATACATTATGTGAGCTATATAGCAACAAATGCTAGAACATTTGAGCAAAGTGCCTTTTTTTCTTATTTCTAAATCTTTTTTCTACAAAAGTGTCTTGCACTTGCAAACATAAAAGATTTTTTTATCCTCATGCTGAATGGGATGGAGAAGAGGAGGAAACAATGCACGGATTTTAAAAAATAATAATGAATCTGCGTGCATCATTTGAGAAAATGACAGATTTCTATAGCATGGATCCTAATTTATTCCCAACAAAATCTTCGTCCCACTTCTCTTACATAAAAACAAAAATTTCAATAAATGGAAAAGGAACCTTTCTCAGAGAACAACTTAGATCCTAGACTTCAAAGCTATTTACCAAAGAATATGCAGCGGAGCCTAGAAAAAGAAAGAAGTTAAAAGCAGTATAAAATTAATAAGAAAACCATCAACAACAAGAAGTGGTATTCAGTCCAATAGGAGCTTCCCAAACTCCTCAATGCATCAATACAAAAGCAGTTCATGAAGTTACTTTTGGAATGCAATTAACATATGCCATTTCATTTATTTTTTTAATACATATTAGCATACGAAAACATAGTGACATAAAAAACCCTCAGCCAACTGCAAAAGTAGACTGGACCAAAAAAGATAATGAGCATATCTTATGTCTGTACATATATACTAGGCACCATAATAAGAAGTAAGGACCAGATATCACTTTTCCACATGATTTGCAATCAAAATAGAAACGCAAACGGAAAAAGATCAAATATAGTGTAGCAGTATGCAGATTCAACCGAAACATAATGAGCATATCTTAACAAAACTTTGACTCTAATCTTCATTAACTTTAATATTGTAAGCTCACCATTGCAAATTCAACAAAAGCTATACGAGTTGAATGCACATGATCCCCCAAAAGCCTCAAACGAGTAACCTGCAAGTTTTAAAAAGATATCAAATGAAGTCAGCTTCAATGACACACACTATTCAACCCTAAATAACCATAAATAAATAACATGCTGTGGAACTCGTCTTACCTCACCACAAGCTGTTTCAAAGAAATTCTTGACTTCAGCTTGAGCAACCTGCGCACATACAGAAAATTATCGAAGATACCAGTTATTCAACTGCCGTATATGTATGCATGGGGAACGAGGATGCACTGAGGAAACCAAAATTTTCATTCTGGTAAAACAGGAATCGTGTATACCTTCTTATCAATATTTGTACAATACACAGTCCTGCTACACATTTCCCGCTCATCTTCCGACTGCAAATGAAATCATAAAAAATCTTCTGAGCAAAAATCTTCATAGTGAAACCTTATCAAAACTTTAATACACACATCATTAAGAAAATAAAGCCAAAATTAAGAGTTGTTCATACCCTGGGGAGGAATGTAGGATTCACAGGAAGGATGGCAGTTTTTGAGGGTAAGACCCTGACAGGATAGTACCCAAGCATAGTCCCACCAAGGCTCAAAGCGGCTCTTGCACCATCTGTATGACAAAACTACCATGTAACATGCTATACATGCAATCATAAAATGTTATAGAGGGCTTGCAGACCAAAATAAAAATCTTACGCTCATCAGCAAACTCCACAAATGCAAAACGGAGTACTGAATGCGGATCACCACAAATCCGGCAGTCAACAACCTTCAAATATAAAGATTACAACAAAAGTTTAGGTCTTCCATTTAAGGTAATAAACACTGAGGAAAAAGAAACCACATAATTAGACCCTATTATCCTTGCAAAAGACCTAAGTTACATATTTGACATTAACAACAATGCTTATGGCATTAACAACAATTCCTAATGCCAAAAGAATTAGGGTATGTTTGGGTGAAGGACTTCCAAATTCCAAGGGATTTAGGCAAAGTGATGAAGAAATGGATCACAAAAAGTTAGATAGGAGGGACTAGAAATGCATCACTTGAGCAACAAAAGTATGTAAGAGGGTATGTAAGAGCATTACAAATGCAGCAAGAGAAACTACACCTCTTTCCGTAAAAACAAAACTAACTGCAAACAAGGTTATTTGGCTTTGGAAACGTGGAAAAGCATACATTAGAAAATCGTGAGTCTTTTCTGTAATGTGTAAAAGACAACTGATATGATTTCGTATTCAAGTAAAAGAAAATCAGTTAGGGAAACATCTCTATTAAGAAAAAGCCTTTGTTGTTTCAGTTACCAAGATAATAGAACTATCCATCTGAGAAACTGAGATTGAACTGGAAATTGACAGCAAGATTAACTTTTATTATGTTTCTTTCTCCTGCATAACATTTAGTTTAAAAATTTGGAAACTTTTTGTGACCTCAACTCCCTCATAGATCATGTAAAGGAAACAGGATCACTAAGTCAAGCTCTTTATCTTCTTCCACTACCCTTAACGTCGTCAAATGAGCAGGACAATAGTACCACATGGATATGTGAGATTGAACTGGAAATTGACAGCAAGATTAACTTTTATTGTGTTTCTTTCTCCTGGATAATATTTAGTTTAAAAATTTGGAAACTTTACGTGACCTCAACTCCCTCATAGATCATGTAAAGGAAACAGGATCACCAAGTCAAGCTCTTTATCTTCTTCCACTACCCTTAACGTCGTCAAATGAGCAGGACAATAGTACCACATGGATATGAGTTAACATGGCAAGCATGTGAGCAACTTTCATTCACGTTAGTATAAATCTGGATTGACAGACCACACTGAACAGTTTTAAAAACTTAAAGAGGCAATGTCTGAAAAAAATACAGGGACTAATATGGAACATTCGACAAAGCAGAAGAAAAAGTGAAGGGAGTAAAGTTTAGACTACCCCTTCATTTATAATAACTATAAATTAATCTATAAATTAATCACCCATTTGTAGTCAGACTGTATTCAAGAATAAACCCTAGAAAGCAAGAGTCTCATGACAATAATCCATAGCCACAATACAGAAGAAAGCTCTTTTCCTCTTAATGTAAAGATATTTACCAACCAAAGTCCCGCAGAACTATAGTCCGAAATAGTACAATCTCATTTCTATTAACATCAATAAGAAAACAAAGGCATGATAATAGCTTAACATAGAGCCAATAATAGAAACACCAAAATCTCTTAGCCAGAAAGAATATCAAAGCAACCTCAAACTTGTTGAACCCATGTGTGGATGTGGATCAATTCAATATGTCATTTCGTACAGGTGTTGCATACAAGGTACCATAAATAAACTTGTTTATGCCAAAAGTTTCAATGATAATAATCGTAAATGTAAACTGGCAGAGGATAATCAAATGGCATTCACGAACACTAATACAATATACTTCGTCACATGATCTCAGTCCTCATTGTTTAGAAAGGAATGATAGTAGTAAGCAACATAGAACATGAGAGTTTTCATTTCAGGAAGAAGTGGATGATAGCTAATCTTACGAAGGAAAAAATCTCTTATTATAGAATTCATGCTCTATAAGTTGAACCACAAAATTCTAGAGAAAGCAAAGAAAAGAAAAGGATGCCCCAGTTCTGAATTTACATTGAATAACCAAAATTTGTAAAATCAGAAAACATAATCTGGGAAAGCAATGCAACTTACTTGTCCGCAACTACTAAATATGGCAGCAAGACGCTCTTCGGTAACCTATATAAGAAAAGGAGAGTTTTTATAACAGCCATTTGATTGAAACTAGAAAGGCAAAGAAAACCCAATCCAGGAATCAAGATCTTATAATTCACTTACTTGCTGATCAATATCAGAAACATATACTGTTCGCCTAATATTACTTTCCCGCTCAGCTCTGAAAGCTCTCCCACTAAGTCTTCGCTTCCCCTGATTAAAGTTATTTCTTCTCTGGAAAACAAGAAAGGTACAAATTAGTATAACAAAATATAATGAAGGAGAATAATAACCACAAGTGTAGAGTTATCGCAAGCAACTTCCTAATGAAACTGTCAATTTTGTTTTTCTCAAGCTAAGTCGTTTAAAGGTCTCAGTTGATAAGAGTTCCAACAACTAAATCAGTATAGTGAAATTACTAAAAATCATAGTCATAATGACAATAACAATAACGACCATGATCAGAAACATAATTATGATTGAAAAAGTGCACCAAATAGAACTCCATGCCGAATGACGAAGGTGATTGCTATGCATATCCCAAAAGACTCTGCTAACCAAATGTGCAGTGACATTCCAACACAAACACACCACCCCTACCGAAACAGAATATACACTGAAAATCTGAAGGCCCAACAAATACATAGAATTCGTATACTCACAACAAGAACAAATAAAAACTCGAACTCCAGATCATGAATTCAAACTATACCAGTAAACAACTGAATTTTAATTACATACTACAGACATCATGAATTCAAACTATATCAGTAAACAACTGAATTTTAATCCGACGCTACATATGCAGTTACAATACTGGAACATATACACCCTGTTCATTTATATCATAATCAGCAATCACTAAACCATTTGAAAATTAATGATCATTAAGGAAAAAATTGTTGAGCAGAGAACTCAAGAACCTCGCCTACCGACAACCCAAATAGCAACCAAATTATCAATTCAACGATAAACCCAATTCAAATTACATTATATAAAAATTACAACAAATAGAAAAGCCCCGTTTAGCTCAAATCCATTACATAATTCATATTCATAAGAAAAACAAAATATAAAACCAACCCTATATTCAAATTACACGAAAAAAAAAAAAAAAAAAGAGATCAAAAGAGAATGATCAGTACCCTTCGAATGTTGGCCTGATTATCATTGGGTGAGAGCTTATTGTTATTGACAGAGTTTTCAAAATTGGAATGGTGCTGGGGAGAATAAGATGAAGGGAAGAACTCTTTGGCTAAAGGGTTGAGCTTGGTGAACATATCCACCAGCTTCTGCACATCGAATTCTGATTTGGATTCAGAAATGGGTTTTGACATTGAATCCAAGTTGGAGTTTTTGGCAGAGGCTGCCTCACCGGAAATCTCAGAAACCGCAGCCATAGAATCAAAACCCACCACCGAGATTTTTATAAAAACAGGAAGGGAAAAAAAATAGTAGCTTCTACAATAAGAAAGATTGAAAATTTATAAGAATTAAACAAAAAAATAAAACTTTCTTTGTTGCTCTTGTGCTCTGTGTACGTTGCTGTCCCTCTGCAAATGAGGGTTTATTAGAGCTTTTGAGATTTTAGAGCGTAATTGAACAAAAATAAACAAAAACGAAAAATGATTGAAAAGAAAATGGTTGGAAGAGGAATATGAAAATGGGTTTAGTAGAAAATGATCTGAGAGCTGAAGTGGTGATGGAGAATGGAGATGGATGGAGGTGTTGGGAGGAGCAAACAGTTGGCTTTTGGGTTTGGCTTCTTTCGCTAAATGCTCTGACCCTTCTCTCTCTCTCTCGGTCTCTCCTCTTATTTTCTTTCTTCTGTGTGGTTTTTTATTTTGGGTTTGGCTCTTTGTCTTGCGTTTCTGAGAGAGGAGAGACAAGAGTGTGAGTAACAGTCATTCATGTCATTTGTTGAAGTGTAACAGATATACATATGTCTTTCAAAACTACCCCTTGAGTTTTTCTTTTTCTATTTTAATTTGTTTTTATATAAGAATGGATAATACTATAACTTGTTTTTCTGAGATTTCTAACAGTCAGTAACAGTAAAAATTAAATTTATTTGTTCTTTGGCTGAGTTTACGCAGGTTGGGTAACAAAGTGTGTCGATTCCTTTGCAACTAAATTCTAAGTCTTTTTTTTTTTTTTTATTAACAATTAAGTTTTATTCTACTAAATGGGATTAGATGTATAAAATATAGAACACCACTGCGATTGGTTTTGTATGTATTCCGTTAGCTTCAAGTATTTCATATATTTTTTTAAAGTCTCTTTCCAATTCTTCATCTATCACTTTTGCCTGAGCTTCCGTTTCATAGTCACATTTTCTAACCAAAGGATTTGTAGGTCTCTAGTCAACCTGTCCAAACCCCCTTAACCGATTTTCTCTCATCTTATTTTCAATTGTGGCCACTTCTATTTTACCAGTTCTTGATCGTACCTTTCTTGTGTGCTCAAACATCCAACGATGCATTCTCATCTTCACTACACTCATTTTTTGCACGTGTTGATTTTGGACCGTTCAACATTCTATGTCATAAAGCAATATTGGCCTTGTTGGCATCCTATAAAAATTTCCCTTGAGCTTTAGTGGTATACGACGATCACACAACACACTCGATGCACTTTTCCACTTCACCCATCCAGTTTGTATTATATGGTTAAAATCAAATGAAATATGTTCATTTTAAGTGGATACGACGATGGAAGTTTTTTTTTTTTTTAAGTTGGAATAATTAAAATATCATTTTGTTAAAATCATGTAGCATATGTTCATGTATTATTGCTATGTTTGGGAATATAATTTCATAGTTAATGTGTACAACTTTTCTACTTTATATCTTCTGCAAATTTGTTGTGCCACAAAGAATATGTTCCTATTGCCTTTAGGCAATGTGGTTGGTTTTGGAGTGTTTTCAGTCATTTGACTTTTGATTGTAGGGTTTAGTGTGGAGTCAAAAGAGGATGGTCCACGTGGGGGAATTTTATGCCACATGTCAATTTGAGTTTCTTTCCGGTATTTTACTCCATTGTAATACATGTTAATCAATTAATCAATGGACTGTTTAGTCTTTTTAAATCCCTATCTTGGTGATGGTCAAAATTTCATTTCGTATGTCATGACAATATGAGTGACAATGATATCTTCTTAATGTTAGAGTTCTTTTATTTTCTTAATCCAATCGTTTATTGTCTTTTTTTTTTATTGTTGTCTAAACTAAGAATGATGTCACGACAATAATAAAAATTATCATTTAAACGTATATTATAGTCTAATAATATTTTTCTTCACTCGAATTTCACGAATGGTGAATTCAACACCACCATATTAGTATAAATATACCGTTGTATAAAAAATTAATAAAAACATAAAGACTTTCTTTAAATAAAAGAAAATTTGGATTAAGTGATGATACATAAACTCATTGAGAAATTGTATGTCATGACAAAATGAGTGACAATGATATTTCTTAATGTTAGATTTCTTTTATTTTTTTTAATCTAATATTTATTCTCTTTTTTCTATTGTGGTCTAAACTAAGAATTTTTAATAGAAAATTTCCACTTAAACTTAAACTATCGTCTAATAGGATTTTTCTTCATTGGAATTTCATGAACATCGAATTCAATACCACTGTATTAGTGTAAATATATCATTATATAAAAAATTATATATATAAAAAAAAAAAAGAAGACTAAGATTTCTTTAGATAAAATAAAATTTGAATTAAGTAATGATATTAAAACTCATTGAGAAAATTTGTATAGGAATAAGCGCACATTACACTTTGAGAGTGAAAAGATCTTAACTTCCATATGTTGAAAAGTTCTAACCCCTCGCCGTAAACCTGTATAATTTACCAGAAAATATAATATATATCAATATATTCCACAACCATGCTCAGAATAGCAAAATTCACCAATATGTCATGTCAAATATCTCAGCATAAAAATATATGTAAGTCAGGTGATATAAATCAATGCAAATGATATATTAGGCGAAGTTACCTAACGTGACCTGTACGGCTGAATCTAGAGCTCATCCATCTAGCCGGAGTCACCTAATGTGACCTATACGGCTCAAATCTACATCTCAACAAATATACTTGCACACGAGTCAAAACCACCTAAAGTGGTATGTATGACAGGACTGGGTGTAAATAAAAACGCTCAAGTGCCCGCAGTGTTATGAGCTCTTAATGCCTCTCAACACCGGGGTGCAGGTTTATGAGCTCTTAATGCCTCTCAACATAATCATCATAATGCAACTCATCATTATCAACACATAAACTCACCTGGAACTTACTTGAGCGCCCGCAGCGTCAACAACCATATACATAATCAATAATGCACATTTAAAGCATAAGTATATTTGGCATGGCATTTCATTTCATAAAATCATTTAAATCAGTTTTCTGGAAAAACTCAAGTATATAGGTATATACGGAAAACCAAAAGCCCACTCACTAGTATGTGGAAGGGTCGTAGCCCCTAAGCCTCAAATGACTGCTTTCGTCCTGAGGATAGGTCTCACCTGACGCCGTTAAAATATTTCGTCAACTCTAATGGAATATTCGTCTCTTTCTATGATGAGCCTCGCCAGTTACCGCCGTCATCTGCAACTCGAATTTTCGCCATTTTCACTTTGGGGACCTAAAACCAACGGAAAGTCACCTGAAAAACCATCGGTATTTTGGCCAAACCTAGGCTTCCCGACGTCCAAAACACTTCATTTTTCTTCTCCGAACTTCGTGAAGATGTTCTAAAGCTCCCTAGAAGCTTAAAAAATTTCTAAAAACTTCACGATCATGATTGCATGAACAGTACCAAAATCGGAGCTCACAAGAAACTAGGGTTTTCGAAGGTTTTACGTCTAACCAAAGGTATGGATCGACTCCTGAGCTTGCAAGGAGTCCAAAAACACCAACCACGATCACGATCTGCTACTAGAAGGGTTGGTTTGAGGTTTGTCCGTACGGGTTGTAAGGAAATGGAGGAAATCCAAGAGAAATGAGAGAAAGAGATAGTCAACGGGAGAGAAAAAGAGGGTGTGAGTGTGTGGTCCAGATGGCAGCCAACCAAAACAAAAGAAAATAAAACCTAAGCCTAAGTTCCTAATTGGTTCCAAATTATTAGGGACTTAACAAAAAATGGTCCACATCCAAAGTAAAACCACATAACCCTACACAACGTCCAAGGGCAATTTAGTCTTTTCACGCCAACGATAATATAATTCGGGACGGGCTGTCACATTTAATAATGTATTTAATTATTTCAGTAATAAAATATTTACATGTCAAGATAATTAAATTTATTTATTTTCAATTAAATTGTATTTCTAAGTATATTCATTTAGTGTTAGAAACATTACATTTGGTATATTTATATTTATGGCTAAACTTTGTATCATATATTTCTATTTTTATTTTGTACCCATTTTCAATTTGCAACCTTTTTTTTAATTTGTACTAATTTTGTGACATCCCACATCACCCAGGGGAGTGATCCTTAAATGTATATTCCCATCTCTACCTAACACGAGGCCTTTTGGGAGCTCACTGGCTTCGGGTTCCGTAGGAACTCCGAAGTTAAGCGAGAAGGGGGCTAGAGCAATCCCATGATGGGTGACCCACTGGGAAGTTGCTCGTGAGTTCCCAAAAACAAAACCATGAGGGCGTGGTCGGGGCCCAAAGTGGACAATATCGTGCTACGGTAGTGGAGTGGGCTGGGGAAGTGGTCTGCCCCGGGCCGGGATGTGACAAATTGGTATCAGAGCCTAACCCTGGTCGCGTGTGTGCCGACGAGGACGTCGGGCCCCTAAGGGGGGTGGATTGTGACATCCTATATCGCCCAGGGGAGTGATCCTTAAATGTATATTCCCATCTAAACCTAGCACGAGGCCTTTTGGGAGTTCACTGGCTTCAGGTTCCGTAGGAACTCCGAAGTTAAGCGAGAAGGGGGCTAGAGCAATCCCAGGATGGATGACCCACTGGGAAGTTGCTCGTGAGTTCCCAAAAACAAAACCTGAAGGAATGGTAAGCCCAAAGCGGACAATATCGTGCTACGGTAGTGGAGTGGGCCCGGGAAGTGGTCCGCCCCGGGCCGGGATGTGACAAATTTATCTTTTCAGTTTTAATTTGCACCCATATATATATATATATATATTTTTTTTTTTTTTTTTTTTTTTTTTTGTTTTTGTACCTATATTTTTTAAGCTTTTATTTGTGCCCGTAATTTATTTAGGGAATTATTATTAGCACTCTAAAAATCTCATTCTACACTCTAAAATTTCTATATTAGGAAAGAAAAATACATTTTTGAGAAGTATAGAATGAGATTTTTGGAGTGCAAATAACACTTCTCTTCATTTATTATGTACCCATTTTTACTTAAAAATGTACCACTT